TTTGACAAACTGACTTGTTGGAAAGGTGGCATCCATTGAAAGTCACTGATCTCTTCAGTACATTCTACTGCCAATGTTTGTCTATGGTTATTGCATGGCTGTGTGCTCGACTTTATACACATGTCAGCAACGGATGTGGCTGAAATTGCCGAATCCACTAATTGAAAGGGGTGTCCACATACTTTTGTACATATCGTGTATGTTAATATGCTTCAGTTTGCTGCCATATTACTGGTTTCACATTTATCTCCAGCAATCATAAGGTCAAATAGATCTAAAACAATTGTTATTTATGTTTACAATAGCTCCGGCTCTTATCAATTTGTAAATCACAGTGCACGGAGAATGGTATTATTTATATCGGGAAAAATAAAGATGTTCCACTTGGAACCGACAGGTTGCTCGACCTTATTCATCGTTTCATCAAGGTGGTGGAATGATGAGGGAATGAAGTCAAGGTAACAGAATATGGCTTTTTTGTAGACCCACCTCCGCCACACCTTCATTTCTTTGATCTCCACCCCAAACGAATAGCGGGTGAATAGCATGCTATTCTCATGCTTAAATTCAAGGTCAGAATATGCGTAGAGAGAAAAGTGTATCAAAAGGAAATTATCTTCCATTTATGTGCGCTTAACTCGGGTCGGAATTCCCCCCTTGATTTTCAGTGCAAAAGAAAGACACTGAACAAAAATATAAACGCAACATGTAAAGTGTTGGTCCCATGTTTCATGAGCTGAAATAAAAGATCCCAGAAAGTATCATTACACAGGTGAACCTTGTGCTGGGGACAATAAAAGGCCACTCTAAAATGTGCCATTTTGTCAAACAACACAATGCCACAGATGTCTCAGGATTTTGAGGAAGCTTGCAATTGGCATGCTGACTGCAGGAATGTTCATCAGAGCTGTTGACAGAGAATTGAATGTTCATTTCTCTACCATAAGGCGCCTCCAACGTTGTTTTAGAGAATTTGGCAGTACGTCCAGCCAGCCTCACAACCGCAGACCACGTGTACGGTGTCGTGTGGGCGAGTGGTTTGCTGATGTCAGCGTTGTAAACAGAGTGCCCCAAGGAACACAATTGCATTTTATCGATGGCAATTTGATTACACAGAGATACCGTGACGAGATCCTGAGGCCCATTGTCGTGCCATTCATCTGCCGCCATCACCTCATGTTTCAGCATGATAATGCACGGCCCCATGTCGCAAGGATCTGTACACAATTCCTGGAAGCTGAAAATGTCCCAGTTCTTCCATGGCCTGCATACTCACCAGACATGTCACTCTTTGAGCATATTTGGGATGCTCTGGATCGACGTGTACAACAGTGTGTTCCAGTTCCTGCCAATATCCAGCAACTTCGCACAGCCTCTGAAGAGGAGTGGGACAACATTCCACAGGCCACAATCAACAGCCTGATCAACTCTATGCGAAGGAGATGTTTCACGCTGCATGAGGCAAGTGGTGGACACACCAGATACTGACTGGTTTTCTGATCCAAAAACAAAATCTGTGACCAACAGAAGCATATCTATATTCCCAGTCGTGAAATCCATAGATTAGGGCCTAATTTATTTATTTCAATTGACTGATTTCCTTATATGAACTGTAACTCCGTAAAGTCTTTGAAGTTGTTGCATGTTGCGTTTATATTTTTGTTCAGTGTATATTACCAATGTATCCAACTATGTATTTTGAAGAGCAGATGATTATAGAGAACTTGGTGTGATATAGAACAGTACACTACTACACTACATACCAGATAAACTTTCGGGAACTCCAGCAAACTGAGCGTGTCAAAACTATTAAAGTTTTATCATTCTAACTTTTCAGCCTTTCGGCCTTCGCCAGAGCATTTGCGTGCTGACCGTAACCTATTTCTCTCTGACCTTTTGGGCCGGGCGCAGGCGGATGCATGATATGTTCACAGAGGCTGCGGGGTGCCAGAAATATTTGACAACTATTTACCTGACAAACACAAATGGTCCATAAAACCACTTCCAGTATTTGTCCAGGCGAACACGCTCTATGCCTTTCAGACACTATTGATTTTAGTTTTGGAGATGTATACAGTACCAGTCAAAAGTTTGGACACACCTACTCATTCAAGGGGTTTTCTTTATTTGTACTATTTTCTACATTGTAGAATAATATTGAAGACATCAAAACTATGAAATGTTATGGAATCATGTAGTAACCAAAAAAGTGTTAAACAAATCAAAATATATTTTAGATTCAAAGTAGCCACCCTTTGCTTTGATGACAGCGTTGCACACTCTTGGTATTCTCTCAACCAGCTTCATGAGGTAGTCACCTGGAATGCATTTCAATTAACAGGTGTGCCTTCTTAAAAGTTAATTTGGAGACTACCTCTAAGGGTGGCTTAGAATGTAGTATTTTGATTAATATGTTTGAAGTCATAGTTGTGTAAACATTAAAGGGGAAGTTGCTGAGTCATCACTTGCCATTGACCATACTGCTGTATGCAAATATGTATAAAGCATATTAGAAAACACTAACATTCTCCACACCAACTCATATTACATCAGAATACCATTCTGAATGATGTCTCTGCACTAATTTTTTAGTTGTTTTATTCCACTGTGCCATAAATCCATGTTTGTATGATGCTGTTTACAACAACAACAAAAATATACAAATATAGATTTATGGGACAGTGGATTTTTTAAACAGATTTCAGTGCAGAGACATCATTCAGAATGGGATTCTGATGTGAGTGTTATGAGTGTTTTCTAACATGCTTTAGAAAAAAATGTCATAATGCATTGTAGTCAATGGCAAGTGATGACTCAGCTAAATGTGACAACCAATTTTCTATGTAACAAAATAAAATAAAAACTGGTTTGGGCAATCAACTCCAAGGACAGAAAGAGTGAAAATAAGTCCAAATGTAAAAATGGGCGAATTTCCCCTTTAAGTTGCGGAATTGTGTTGTTCTTTGTAAGCTGTTCAATCTGGTAAAACAGACAACTCCTTGAGAAATAAAAAACGTCAGTGTCATGTCAAAAATATTTATTGGTTTTGTTTAAAATACATGTTCAATAGAATTATTGCATACAGTACAATAGACAAATGAAATATAATGTTTATTCTTAATACAAATGATTCAAAATATCATGTAATATAGAAAGGATAGACAATAGAATCTACTGGAATTGATACTCAATCAAAATGCTGGTATCATTATTCAGTTACAGTATAGAGACATTCCTCCATAATTTAGTTCACAATGGATACAATATGAAGTTATATCAAGGGCCACACATACTGTACATAAAGCAAGGGCTAAAGAAAATAACCTGATAACAATAATTTTGCCTTCATCAATGGCAGTAAAGGACAACCCGTTGCAGAATCTCATAAATATACAGTAAGCCGATAAAGTGCTCATGAATAAATCATTGCCAATTATGAAAGTTATGTGAGGCGTTCTGTTTGGAAAAACGTTCACTTTTTGGTCTCACAATCAATGGTATTAGTTATCATCATGGTACATTCCAGACTGCAGTACATGTACCCTATGGAAGGATGACTCCTCAATGTGACATACATTAAGCTCTAGGACAGGAGGACAGGAAGTGCTTGCAGAAGAACAATATAATGTTCTATTATTCTAATGTTCTAAGAGCCAGGTAACCAGGAAGTGTTTGCTATAAGATCCTGAGGGCCATGCTAGAATATCATACTGCAATGCAATATGGGACCTTTTGCGGCATAGTGCCAGGGTATGGTAGGAAAGTCTACAGTACAGTATACACTGCTACTGCCAACCACACACAAGATGCACACCATTAAGAAGGCAGCAAAGAGGTTTCAGCTTTAAACTTATCATACACACACATTATACCCATTTAGTGTAAACATTTTTAAACGAAAACAAAGATAGACAGACTTTATTTGCTTGAATGGATGAATATAATTGACATGAGCCCTAAAAACCTTAGATTTTGGAAAATGCAGACTCCGTGCCTTGGAACATGCGCATGCTTGTTGACCTGTGTGTTTCATGGACCTTCACGTTGTCTGACACTGTGGCAATAGCTAAATGTTTGCTCGCACAGCTGTGTAATAACCTTGAGTTCATGCCGTCAAAGCCAGGCTGTTGCTTAACTGATTATCTGAGCAAATAATACAGTGCAGATGCTGATGAAACCATTTTTAACCTCTCCATATCAGATATCTGCTCCTGTCTGGGTGGTTTCCTAGGGGTGAGATTTTACTGCTGTCTTGTTGCATAAATCATCAGAACTGCATGAGTGCGATTGCATTAGTCTCTAGAATGTAGCTCCTCTATGGATCTCAAAGTTTAGAATTCAGAATCAGAACGTCCAAATGCCCTGCAATGTATGTAACTATACTTGTAATGGACTAGAAGGAATCAGACAACTTTAAAGTAAGATTTTTTTTATATACTAGTGTATACAATGGACATTCTCAGTCGGATATGTTTTTTTTTTTTTTTACCTTTATTTACCTAGACAAGTCGTGGGATATGTGTGAAAATTGTCGATGCAGCACACATCTTATTAGAAACAAAGCTAAAGAGTCAGCGCTATTCTATTTCCCTTAGATCCAGGCACAGACTGCATAAATCATACTGTATCTTTCTTAGCTCACCTCACGCTCACCAGTAATACAAAACACACAAAGTATAAAAACAAATACAATTATAACAGCTCATAGTTTTACAGTAAAAAAAAAAGGAATGAAGGTGATATATGAATCTGTCTCCTCTTTCTGTCGTGTGCTATCTGTGTGTGACTAAACAAACCCTTAGAGTACTCAGTACTATTCACCATTGGCATGCAAAAACCCTCTATCGAATTGATGAAGACAGATTATCTTCAATTCTATACTGCATGATCGTGAAAGTATGTATTTGCATCTGTCTGTGCATGTGTGACACATTCAATCTAGTCTTCTCAGACTAAAAGCATAATTAGCTGAATGTCTTGTCTTTCTCTTTCTTCTTTCTTTACGTGCAGCCACAGGACTCTACGATCATGTCAGGGACGTCGGTCTTGACGATGCTGTGCTTTGAGTTGAAGTAGACCATAGACAGAGGCCTGCGCTGGATGGGCACACAGCAGGAAGACACCGCTGTGTTGATGCCGTTGGCTTTGAGCTGGCTGAAGACTGTGGCATGGAAGGAAGACGCGATACCTGGAGACCCAGCCAGGGCCTGGGGACACTGGCCCATACAGTAATTAATGTGGTACCCTTCTGGAGCTATGATCCAGTCCTGCCACTGGATATCCTTGAACTTGACGTAGAAGTCCTTCTTGCAGCAAACCGTAACATCATCTCCGCACCGTAGGGACCTCTTCTGGAGGATGTGTTTGGGGTCGTCACGGAGCCGCACCTGGGCCACCATGAATGGCTGATGGGCCATGTCCATGGACTTACCCAGCTCACACAGGTTCTGGCTAACCCCATTCACCCCGGCCACCCCAGTCTCTATGCAGGTGACTTCCAGCTGTAGCAGCCGCTGGCCCCCGTCCATGAACGCTTGCAGGGTGTGTGTAATGGGGAAGGTGTACCAGTTGCTCTTCTGCACATCCAGGATCTTCTCTAGGAGGAGGGTGCGGTTGGAGCCGCTTTCCCCAGGCCAAGAGAGGTAGATGTGGGCTGTGGCGGTGGGGCGGGGCCCTGAGTTAGGGGTGTCAGAGGAGCGGACGTATAGCCACAGAGCTGACTGGAGCACCTGAATGCGATGGCCTTGCTCCTGCAGGAACTGGAAGGTGAGGCCTGGCTGAGCACCAGTAGTGTCCATCTCATCTAGATCACAGAGAGAAGATACAGAGTGTGAGGATTGGTTTGTCATTTTGTCACAATAAACAGTATACCTGTAGGTGTATATATAATTTACTGTAAACCACGTGTCAAACTCATTCCACGGAGGGCCGAGTGTCTGGGGGTTTTCACTCCTCCCTTGTACTTAATTGATTAATTAAGGTCACTAATTAGTAAGGAACTCACCACACCTGGTTGACTAGGGCTTAATTGAAAGGAAAAAACAAAAACCTTCAGACACTAAGCCCTCCATGTAATGAGTTTGACAGCCCTGCTGTAACCCTATACCAGTCTTTCAGGGTAGTTCTAAGTGATGCCAATATTTTTCATATAAGTTCACAAGTCACAGTTACAGCATTTTATTTATTTAAGCAAAGATACAATCTCAAAATACATGCCATATGAAACGTAACATATCATACTAATTGGAGTGTCCTGGATTTACCTTTATCATCGCACGTCATCCAGGTTCAAAATCAAATCATTAATCGTTTCTATTGGAATGAGGTCAAATAGAATGACATGCGCTAAAGCTCGAGGTACAGATGTCGGATCTTAAGCTAGTTACCTAGCTTTGGCTAACCCACAATCTGACAGAAAGTTGAATCTCCTGTTTTTAGCTCCCCATATGATCTCTGTTTGTTGGCCAACTAGCCACCTTGTCATTGGCATCAAGAGTGAACAGATTAATCTGACGTGTGTGACAATAGCTAACTAGCTATCACATTAGACTGCCAAACTGGCTAAACTAGCTAGCTGCAATGTCAACCATGTAGTCATCAACGGGTCAGCTTTTTGTGCCATATACTAGAAATAAAGTATTTTTTTTTTTGGGGGGGGGGTATATTTTTATTTCCAGCTTGTTGCTGCACAACCTAGGGGGAGGAGAATGGGCCAGACAAGAAAAGAAAATACCCTTCAAAGTGGAAAGGAGAGTTCTGAAGAGGAGGGTAAATCCAGTTTTGTCTAGAAGGGATACAGCTTTTGTCCAAATTTACTTTTTGTAGCAGGTTATGAATTAGGATTATGTTATGTTTAGGGTTAGTTAAAATGGCAAAAAATAATCTATTTTTGACATCAATTTAATTCCATGGTGAAATGTGTCTGATTTGCATACTAGTAACATCATTGGAAGTGAAATTTCGGTATTGATTGTTTGACTGTTGTAACACTTACCTGTTCATTTTTTGTGAAAAATTAAACATCACACTTGCTGTAAATCTTAGTATGCATTCACCATCACATGTACATTAAATTAATTTTCATTAATGCTATTGTCACGATCGTCGGGAACAGAGGAGGACCAAGGCGCAGCGTGGAATGCGAACATATTTATTAATGAATGATCACACGAACAAAACGAAAACGTGACGTCCCTGGTTACATTCACAAACCAACACGGAACAAGAAACCACACCAAATGAATGCCTAACGGCTACCTAAGTATGACTCCCAATCAGAGACAACGAGCTACAGCCGTCTCTGATTGGGAGCCACCCTGGCCAACATAGATATACAAAACCAGAACAAACACAAATGAAAACTCACACCCTGGCTCAACATACTAGAGTCCCCAGAGCCAGGGCGTGACAGTACCCCCCCCCCCCCAAAGGCGCGGACTCCGACCGCGCCAACCAAACACCACAGGGGAGGGACCGGGTGGGCACTCCGCCTTGGAGGCGGATCCGGCTCCGGGCATGATCCCCACTCCCTCTCTAACCCCCCAAAGTACCCCTGGTCCGGTCTGACCCTGCTGACCGGAGCTGGACTGCACACTGGTGGAGCGGATTGCTCTAGCTCCGGCATGACGCAGCTGACCCGTGCCAAACCAGGCACTGGTGAAACAGGCACGGGATGTGCCGTACTGACGACGCACACTACTGGCTTGGTGTGGGGAGCAGGAACGGGCCGAGCCGGGCTGACGAAACGCACCACTGACTTGGTGCGGGGAGCAGGAGCGGGCCGGACCGGGCTGACAAAGCGCACCACTGACTTGGTGCGGGGAGCAGGAACGGGCCGAGCCGGGCTGACGAAGCGCACCACTGACTTGGTGCGGGGAGCAGGAACGGGCCGAGCTGGGCTGACGAAACGCACCACTGACTTGGTGCGGGGAGCAGGAACGGGCCGAGCCGGGCTGACGAAGCGCACCACTGACTTGGTGCGGGGAGCAGGAACGGGCCGAGCTGGGCTGACGAAGCGCACCACTGACTTGGTGCGGGGAGCAGGAACGGGCCGAGCCGGGCTGACGAAGCGCACCACTGACTTGGTGCGGGGAGCAGGAACGGGCCGAGCCGGGCTGACGAAGCGCACCACTGACTTGGTGCGGGGAGCAGGAACGGGCCGAGCCGGGCTGACGAAGCGCACCACTGACTTGGTGCGGGGAGCAGGAACGGGCCGAGCCGGGCTGACGAAGCGCACCACTGACTTGGTGCGGGGAGCAGGAACGGGCCGAGCCGGGCTGACGACGCGCACCATTGGCCTGGTGCGGGGAGCAGGAACAGGCCGGACCGTACTGGGGACACACACCACTGGTCCTACGCAGGGATCTGGAATGGGCCGGACCGGACTGGTAACACACCCCAGTACCTCTCGCCGTGCCTCTACACCTTCCATCCCCTCTTCGACCAGTGGCCCCCGTAACCTGGCGGCCTCCTCTGCCAACCCGCTGGGCCGCTCTGCCGCGGTCTCCTGCTGGCCCGTCGTCCACGGCGTTAGCCCCCCCCTAAAAATGTTCTGCCCGTCTCTCCTACCCGTGGACCAGGTCTCCATGTCCCTCGCCAGCCTTTCGCCCTTCTGCTTCCATGTCAAGCCCTTCTCTTCCTCACCCGGCTTGACCCAGTCGAGGAGGCGAAGGAGATCTGCTAGAGATCTCCCTGGCGATGGCTCCTGGACACGCTGCTTGGTCCAGTCTTGGTGGTTTCTTCTGTCACGATCGTCGGGAACAGAGGAGGACCAAGGCGCAGCGTGGAATGTGAACATATTTATTAATGAATGATCACACGAACAAAACGAAAACGTGACGTCCCTGGTTACATTCACAAACCAACACGGAACAAGAAACCACACCAAATGAATGCCTAACGGCTACCTAAGTATGACTCCCAATCAGAGACAACGAGCTACAGCCGTCTCTGATTGGGAGCCACCCTGGCCAACATAGATATACAAAACCAGAACAAACACAAATGAAAACTCACACCCTGGCTCAACATACTAGAGTCCCCAGAGCCAGGGCGTGACAGCTATTGAAATGGTGAAATTATTCCAATATCCAGTGCATTCGGAAAATATTCAGACCCCTTGACTTTTTACACATTTTGTTACGTTACAGCCTTATTCTAAAATGGATTAAATAAATACAAATCCTCATCAATCTACACACAATACCCCATAATGGCAAAGCGAAAACAGGTTTTTAGAAATTGTTGCAAATTTATCAAACATAAAAACCAGATACCTTATTTACATAAGTATTCAGACCCTTTGCTATGATACTTGAAATTGAGCTCAGGTGCATCCTGTTTCCATTGATAATCCTTGAGATGTTTCTACAACTTGATTGGAGTCCACCTGTGGTACATTCAATAGATTGGACATGATTTGGAAAGGCACACACCTGTCTATATAAAGGTCCCACAGTTGACAGTGCATGTCAGAGCAAAAACCAAGCCATGAGGTCGAAGGAATTGTCCGTAGAGTTCCAAGCAGGGACGGCTTGTTCAATAGGGCGATATGGGCGACGCACTGCCAAACGGGAAAAGGAAGGGATTTTTTTTCTAATCAATTATATCACGGCAACAGCAGTTATCAGTGTTCACGTCTGATCTGCCAGCCACTAAATGTCAAATCAGGCTAAAGTCGTGCTTCAAATGGCCCCGCCCGTTTTTGGGGCGATTTCAGTCAAGTTGAAAATCGCCCAGAAGTCTCTCATAGCCTGTCATGTAAAATCTATTTTTTTCACATTTCAAAGCTTTCAATACATTCTCTATGGGTGTCTGTGGGCTTGCACTTACGCGCTTTCGTCATACGTGACGTAACGTTGAACGTAACTAAGACAATGGCGGCTAGAAGCGTCTCTGTTGCGACCTGCAGTGCGGCGTTATTTTATGTTTTTAATTTGTAGACTTAGTTTACAAACATTCTGCCAACCATGGATTTCCAGTGGTTGGTTTTGGACTGATCTTGTTGATCGTGTACATACCCGCTACGAACGGACTAAATAATGAAAACGCTGCTGGCAGCTGAATCCCAATACAGCTGGGAGACTTGGCTGGATGAGTCCCGGACAGAGAAGTGGAGCCGGCCACCTTCACCCTGGTCAGAGCGGACCGCGATCCTGGTAAGAGAGCGACTCTGTACCCCGACATTGAACTGCTTTCTGTGTCATTGCGACCTTACTATCAATTCAATTCAATTTAAGGGCTTTATTGGCATGGGAAACGTGTGTTAACATTGCCAAAGCAAGGGAAGTAGATAGTAAACAAAAGTGAAATAAACAATAAATATTAACAGTAAACATTACACTCAGAAGTTTCAAAAGAATAAAGACATTTCAAATGTCATATTATGTATATATACAGTGTTGTTACAATGTGCAAATAGTTAAAGTACAAATGGGAAAATAAATAAACATAAATATGGGTTGTATTTACAATGGTGTTTGTTCTTCACTGGTTGCCCTTTTCTTGTGGCAACAGGTCACAAATCTTGCAGCTGTGATGGCACACTGTGGTTTTTCACCCAGTAGATAAGGGAGTTTATCAAAATTGGGTTTGTTTTCGAATTCTTTGTGGATCGCTGTAATCTGAGGGAAATATGTGTCTCTAATATGGTCATACATTTGGCAGGTTAGGAAGTGCAGCTCAGTTTCCACCTCATTTTGTGGGCAGTGTGCACATAGCCTGTCTTCTCTTGAGAGCCAGGTCTGCCTACGGCGGCCTTTCTCAATAGCAAGGCTATGCTCACTGAGTCTGTACTTGGTCAAAGCTTTCCTTAAGTTTGGGTCAGTCACAGTGGTCAGGTATTCTGCCACTGTGTACTCTCTGTTTAGGGCCAAATAGCATTCTAGTTTGCTCTGTTTTTTTGTTTGTTCTTTCCAATGTGTCAAGTAATTCTCTTTTTGTTTTCTCATGATTTGGTTGGGTCTAATTGTGTTGTTGTTGTTGTTGTTGTTGTTGTCCTGGGGCTGTGTGGGGTCTGTTTGTGTTTGTGAACAGAGGCCCAGGACAAGCTTACTTAGGGGACTCTTCTCCAAGTTCATCTCTCTGTAGGTGATGGCTTTGTTATGGAAGGTTTGGGAATCGCTTCCTTTTAAGTGGTTACTATCTGCCCCGTGACTTCCCCCAATTGTTTGTTACCGTTGTGTACTGTTGATAATCACAAGTTTACTGGAGAACTGAGACCAAGTAGAGACTTTGGACAGGGTGGATATGGTATAATAAAGGCAGTTTATTCAGAGGTAAAGATATCTGGAATCGCGTGCACGGACTCGTGCACGTGTGTAGGTCACCTAAATCATCAGAAAAATTGCCCCTCCTGAGAATTTTTTCAGGAGCCGCCACTGGTTCCAAGACAGGATTGTGTCGAGGCACATATCTGGAAAAGGGTACCAAAAAATGCCTGCAGCATTGAAGTTCCCCAAGAACACAGAGGCCTCCATCATTCTTAAATAGAATAAGTTTGGAACCACCAAGACACTTCCTACAGCTGGCCGCCCGGCCAAACTGAGCAATCGGGGGAGAAGGGCCTTGGTCAGGGAGGTGAACAAGAACCCAATGGTCACTCTGACAGAGCTCCATTGTTCCTCTGTGGAGATGGGAGAACCTTCCAGAAGGACAACCATCTCTACAGCACTCCACCAATCAGGCCTTTATGGTAGAGTGGCCAGACAGAAGCCACTTCTCAGTAAAAGTCACATGACAGCCTGCTTGGAGTTTGCAGAAAGGCACCAAAAGGACTCTCAGACCATGGGAAACAAGATTCTATGGTCTGATGAAACCAAGATTTAATTATTTGGCCTGAATGCCAAGTGTCACTTCTGGAGGAAACTTAGCACCATCTCTATGGTGAAGCATGGTGGTGGCAGCATCATGCTGTGGGGATGTTTTTCAGTGGCAGGGACTGAGAGACTAGTCAGGATTGAGGGAAAGATGAACGGAGCAAAGTACAGACACATCCTTGATGAAAACTTGCTCCAGAGCGCTCAGGACCTCAAACTGGGGTTAGGTTCTTGAGTGGCCCAGCCAGAGCCCGGACTTGAACCCTATCGAACATCTCTGGTGAGACCTGAAAATAGCTGTGCAGCGACTCTCCCATCTAACCTGACAAAGCTTGAGAGGATCTGCAGAGAAGAATGGGAGAAACTCCCCAAATACAGGTGTGCCAAGCTTGTAGCGTCATACCCAAGAAGACTCAAGGCTGTAATCGCTGCCAAAGGTGCTTCAACAAAGTACTGAGTAAATGGTCTGAATATTTGCAAATGTGATATTTCAGTTGTTTATTTTAAAAACCTGTTTTTGCTTTGTCATTATTGGGTTTTGTGTGTAGACTGATGAGGAACAAAAACAATTTAATCAATTTTAGAATAGGGCTGTAACATAACCAAATGTGGAAAAAGTCAAGGGGTCTGAATACTTTCCAAATGCACTGTACCTTTTTATGAAGTTGTGCACGTTAATAGATATTAAGTCAACATTGAATGACCGTAATTGAAGCTGTACAGCCTACAGACTTTCTTTGATATTAGTCTTCATTGGAGAGTACCTGTGCTGGGGGCCATCTGCAAGATGGTGGTGGCAGGCTTTAATAATAAATGAATGTCAAATCAATTGCACTAAGTTGTTGTCCTTTTTGTTTGCTGTCACAGGTGTAAAAAATTACCAAACTAAATTAGTAACTAGTACTTAAGTATTTTTCTGACCGGATACTTTTTCTCTTACTTGAGTAGTTTCTTAAGGCTAATTTTACTTGAGTAAATTATAATCTAAGTAACAGTACTTTTACTTGAGTACAGATTTTCAGTACTCTACCCACCTCTGCAAATTATACATAGCCTAACTATAGAAAGTTGGCGAGCATCCACATGGAGGAAGTTCTACAGTAGGCATACATCTCTCAATTAACTGATGGCGAAAAATCAGCTCATCGATTTAGCCAGGGAAACACAAACAGTAGACTATCGGTTTTTACACCTTTCATTATGTGACTACTGATACTGTAGGCTAACAGGAAGCCTGTTAAAATATAACCAAATAACAAGGGGCCTATTGCAACCATCGATGGTACTAGATTATTGCCAACTGATGTCTCCTTAAACCATCAATATGAGCAAAATTCAACCGCACAGCTGATCTCAATTACAACCATTATTAGTCACCTCTACCGCTCACCTACCGGTGTTAGTCAGAGATCTGTATATAATGACAAAATGCTCATGTCTCCGCCCTAACAATGGGAGTCATTCCAAAGGCAGACGACAAGTTCAGGTTTGCATATTAAACCCATAGAAACGCATTGGGCTCATTTTGGTGAGAGTGAACCCTCTCGCTTCGCCTCTGCCTTTCTGCTTTAGTCCTGCTTGCAACCAAAGTATTTCAAGATATGTTTTCCCTCTGGTTGGTATTGTCATCGGAACAACTTAGTCCTTTTTTAACAGACTAAGGGCGATTTATCTATTTTACAAGCATTCTGTACAATAGAAGTAAAGTATTTCCTCGTTTACCATAACAAATCTACTGTGGCAATTTACCCAACACTTTGTATGAATGGAAACTGACATTGGTGTACTGTTATTTGGACTGTCCTTTTATTAAATGTGTAACTTTTTTGAGTAAATCGGGAGATTGTTATTTATGCCATAAGGGTTCGGGCCGGAATTGAACCCACGCCAAACACAGTATGCCTATATGTGCACGTAGTGGCCCTAACCGCTAGACCACCCTAACCGCTAGACCACCCCAGATCATTCGTAACCTGACAGATCATTCGTAACCTGAGGATACACTAGACATTTGTATGTCGTAGCCTAGTGGAGATCAATGTCTATCTTGTGTTATTAAGCTATATAAAATGACGGTTGTTGTTGTGTATGGCTGCATTTCAGATTGTTGTACATTTGAATGTTGCAGTAATGGGACCTAGGAGTAAGGGGTTTGAGCAAGCGAGAGGGAACATTATTCTAAGATAGAGAGCCTTGATCCCAATGACTCAACTGCCCCTGCATGGAGAGAAAGATAACTGCTCATTTTTAGCTAATAACGCAGCCTGATCTAATAGACCTGAGGTAACACAGTAAACATAAATCCGGGACACCCAAATTAGTATGATATGTTATGTTTGATGTGGTTACACAAGACAGATGGTTACTTAAGGTGAAAAGTAGGGTGGCTGGTCGGGTGTATAACGCGAACGTCTAGCAACCCAAAGGTTGCTTTAGCATTTTAGCTAATTAGCAACTTTTCACTTACTAACTTTTTAGCTACTTTGCAACTACTTCGCATGTTAGCTAAGCCTTCACCTAACCCTAACCTTAATACTTTCAGCTAACCCTTCCCTAACCCTAACCATAACTCTTTAAACTAACTCCTAAACTTAACCCAAAGGTTGCGAGTTTGAATCTCATCACGGACAACTGTAGCATTTCAACTAATTAGCAACTTTTCAACGACTTACTACTTTTTAGCTACTTTACAACTACTTAGCATGTTAGCTAACCATTCCCTCAATCCTAACCTTAACCCTTTAACCTAACTCCTACATTTGTAACATATTGTAAGTTTTATAAATTCGAACTTTTGTACATTTTGCAAAAATCGTAACATAATATGAATTGTAATTCATAACATATCATATGAAATAGGTGGACATCCACAAATTAATAAATACAATATGAAACGTAACATATTATACTAAATGGTGTGTCTTCGATTTACGTACAGAATAATACAAAATGCTCTGAGACCAGGTTGAATCAAGAAGCTCAATTGAATTTCCTGATGCATCAGGAAAATTCTTGGCAACAAAATAGTGATCAAGTTAAGATTAGACATCTGTAGGCCTACCTTGATTTACCCCAGCTATCTCAAGTCAGGGTTTCAATGTAAATGTCTGAGCTCTGTATTTTAATTGACATGGTTTATTTACATTGTTCCAAAAGCACATTCAGTGCAATCAGTAGGCCACATTGGAGGTAATAACCAAACGCCCAATAAAGTCCATAAGAAAGTAAACAAAGTGACACTAGTGTAGGCTACACTATAATATTCAAAATAACTGAACTTACCCATTTCTGCGAAGCTCACTATTTCATATCCCTGATCTTTGGTATCATTGATCTTAACTTCAAGTTCAATGGTGCCGTCCGGTCTGACTCGCCCAGCGTGCAGTTTGCGGAGAGCTGTAAGAAGCGCAGCGCGGGGCATAGTCGAGGTGATGTTCGGTCTCTCTTTCAGGTGCAGCTTGTTCAAGATCTGTTGCTTGGCGATCTCAATCAGGAGCCTCTGCTCCGAATCCTTCTCCATCGGCTGAATGCCGCAAGACGCGCAGCCAGGTGTGGTCCCTACCACGGTCGCAGCCTCCAGTCCCTTCACCAGCAGAGACGTCATCAATGAAAACATTGGCAATGTGGAAGCAGAAGATAATAGCATGTTGGTGGGCTCTCTAGACACATGGATACTATGCATTTTAGAAGCAGGCGCAAATATAAGAACCGATAATATTAAAGAGAGCATGTTTGAAAAAGTTGTTCCCCGAGTTGCTTTGGATGCTGATCTATTTGCATTCAACAAGTTCCTGATCTGTTCCAGTCAGAGGGACCTTGTTCCTGCAGGTGGATGCCTCGAAGACAAGGATGAGAGAGCGTGAGTGGTACTTCAACACCTGATGATGAGCCACATAACTGGGGTAATCCACCAATGTTGTGACACGTTATATGGACACACCAATGAGCGCATCAAGGAAATGACAGGCACTGATCTGTCTCTGACTCTCTCTGACAGGTCACACACACACACACACACACACACACACACACACACACACACACACAAGCACAGAGAGACGCGCGATAGCATTGCACATGCGCTATAACGCACAGTGATCAAATAGGCCACATGCTTTGAAGGATAAGAGACGCTATATTATCGATCAGTCATCCCTACACTATATCACCGAATAATAAACTTCAGTAGCCAAACAAGTGTGACATGCCACGTAGACCAGTAACCGTAGGCAACTTTGACGCGTCATTATTTGAATTATGGCATGGAGCCAGGGTATTACTCAGCGAGACGCGTCAAGAACTATGAACTTTACCCCAGTTAGTTACCACTCTTTTTACTCAATCTCCATCTGGTCAAATAATGTAAATCAGCACATGTAGGCCTACAGTAAATATGATGCAATCTATTTGGCCCATTGCTCTGTCGGGAAGGTTTCTGCAGAGGGACAATATTGATAACTGAAGTAGACTCTCTCAATTATAACTTGAAATTGTACTTATGTGAATCGAAGTCTTGTATATTCTATTCTATGCTTTTTCTGTATCATGTATTTAACCATGTGAATCATTTGTCCAAATGCCAATTGCCAGTGTCTGAATTGGATGGTCATTATTATGGGCTATGTGTATTGTAAACATTTTTTGTTTGCGTTTTACCCAAATGCAACATGGTGTCCAATAAAGTCACAATACACAGTTCGAAGTTATTCATGCCGCCATGGTGAACAAGCATTGCTTCAATTGGATTGAAAGGGGATTGATAGAGATAAGCAGCTATTCATACAATGGTAGCCCAATATTGGCCTGCATCTACAAGAAGAGATTATGAATAAAATACAGATTTTGTACCAAGTGTATTTCTGTGTATGTAGGCCATGGCCAATAGGCCTGCCTGTGCCTGCCCACTCACTGCACATTAACACCATAAATAGCCTACCTGAACCAGGTCAATGACATTCACAATAACAGCTCAATAGAAGACACTCACATACTGTAACCAATTATCCTAAATTGTAGGCCAATGTGTAATCGAAATTCAAAAGTATTATGTTGGCGGATGAACATTGGCCAACAGACTAATTTCTGATTTTAAACCTAGTGGAACCAGAGGTGTAGTCCTATAATAATTCACTGGGCTATTTTATCACAACTCAATACTTGCATTGCCTGGTTGCCATCTCTGTTCAGCTATTACGTTCCACTCCTTGCCACTCCTGTCATTGGTCAAATAATTATTTGGCAAATGACAGGAATGGCATGGAGTAGAACGTTAGCTAAAAAGACTGGTACCCAGACTTGTACTTGCCCGCCACCATGTGGGGAGTTGTGGGTACTCGAATTAAACTACAACAGCCATTGCAACACTAGAGGCTACAGTAAGATGCACATTTTATTAGTGTGGCTTGCGAAAGGACATATGTTTTGCTCGCGCTACAGACAGCTATATCGGTCCGCTAATACACGACTACTAAAGGCCTAGTACACTCCTTTTGTAAAAAATGTATAATGTCCGACAAAAACATAGAAGGTATGACATTTACCTCTGATTTTCAAAACAGAATACATTTTTGCAATACCTTGTATAAAGCTGTTTTAATAACCCATCAACTGCTATCTTTCTAGCTAATTTTCCCCCAACATCGGACACCCCCTAACTTCGGGCACTCTCTAGTGGTTGGAGGACTAAACCACCCCGAGCTCAACATTTAAATGGACTGGAAAATAACGGTACATTTTGCAACTAAAGCCACCCTTCTAGCTAGCTGACCACCGATTTTCAGTGCAATTTATGTAAGTTAAGTTAGGTTTTGAGAGTTTTCAAAAAAGTTATATATGTACACATTTTGTGGGACACGCTGCATATTGTAAAATTCGACTGCGCAACAGACCACACATCATTTAATATCCAACATTTACCTCTGAAATATAGCTAACGGATTTTCTAATGTTGCTAGCTTAGTTGCTAAATGTTGATAGAACTGCTAAGACAGAAAAAAGGAAAGAAATTGTAAGCGTTAGATAATACAGTGGGGAAAAAAAGTATTTAGTCAGCCACCAATTGTGCAAGTTCTCCCACTTAATAAGATGAGAGAGGTCTGTAATTTTCATCATAGGTACACGTCAACTATGACAGACAGAATGAGAAAAAAAATCCAGAAAATCACATTGTAGGATTTTTTATGAATTTATTTGCAAATTATGGTGGAAAATAAGTATTTGGTCAATAACAAAAGTTTCTCAATACTTTGTTATATACCCTTTGTTGGCAATGACACAGGTCAAACGTTTTCTGTAAGTCTTCACAAGGTTTTCACACACTGTTGCTGGTATTTTGGCCCATTCCTCCATGCAGATCTCCTCTAGAGCAGTGATGTTTTGGGGCTGTCGCTGGGCAACACAGACTTTCAACTCCCTCCAAAGATTTTCTATGGGGTTGAGATCTGGAGACTGGCTAGGCCACTCCAGGACCTTGAAATGCTTCTTATGAAGCCACTCCTTCGTTGCCCGGGCGGTGTGTTTGGGATCATTGTCATGCTGAAAGACCCAGCCACGTTTCATCTTCAATGCCCTTGCTGATGGAAGGAGGTTTTCACTCAAAATCTCACGATACATGGCCCCATTCATTCTTTCCTTTACACGGATCAGTCGTCCTGGTCCCTTTGCAGAAAAACAGCCCCAAAGCATTATGTTTCCACCCCCATGCTTCACAGTAGGTATGGTGTTCTTTGGATGCAACTCAGCATTCTTTGTCCTCCAAACACGACGAGTTGAGTTTTTACCAAAAAGTTATATTTTGGTTTCATCTGACCATATGACATTCTCCCAATCCTCTTCTGGATCATCCAAATGCACTCTAGCAAACTTCAGACGGGCCTGGACATGTACTGGCTTAAGCAGGGGGACACGTCTGGCACTGCAGGATTTGAGTCCCTGGCGGCGTAGTGTGTTACTGATGGTAGGCTTTGTTACTTTGGTCCCAGCTCTCTGCAGGTCATTCACTAGGTCCCCCCGTGTGGTTCTGGGATTTTTGCTCACCGTTCTTGTGATCATTTTGACCCCACGGGGTGAGATCTTGCGTGGAGCCCCAGATCGAGGGAGATTATCAGTGGTCTTGTATGTCTTCCATTTCCTAATAATTGCTCCCACAGTTGATTTCTTCAAACCAAGCTGCTTACCTATTGCAGATTCAGTCTTCCCAGCCTGGTGCAGGTCTACAATTTTGTTCCATAGTGGAGTTTGGAGTGTGACTGTTTGAGGTTGTGGACAGGTGTCTTTTATACTGATAACAAGTTCAAACAGGTGCCATTAATACAGGTAACGAGTGGAGGACAGAGGAGCCTCTTAAAGAAGAAGTTACAGGTCTGTGAGAGCCAGAAATCTTGCTTGTTTGTAGGTGACCAAATACTTATTTTCCACCATAATTTGCAAATAAATTCATAAAAAATCCTACAATGTGATTTTCTGGATTTTTTTCTCTCAATTTGTCTGTCATAGTTGACGTGTACCTATGATGAAAATTACAGGCCTCTCTCATCTTTTTAAGTGGGAGAACTTGCACAATTGGTGGCTGACTAAATACTTTTTTCCCCCACTGTATATCATGGTCACAAGGCATACATTTTAGGGGTTCAACAAGGGTTCTTCTAAGATCCTCAAAGTTCTTCGAAGAACCTTAGGGTTCTTGGCACTGAACATTTCCCCGAAAAGGTTATTCTAAGAACCCCATAGGAGGTGGGGTTCATCGAGGAACCTTATTAGTTGGTGGGGGTTCTTGCAGGAACCTAACTGCCCAACTGAAACATTTGGATTTGAATTTGAATGGACAGCAGGTGCAGGCACTTAACTGACAAATGTTAAAAGATCTCCACATTTTAAGGTAAGGTTTGTCCCTCGTATGATCTAAATTTATATTGTTTTATGATAATACCATCTATCTTTTCATATATGTGCAAATCTTTCTAAAACAGAAAATGGATACAATTAAATGGATATCAATCAACAAAGAGGTAAGAATATGTATGCTATAAGAATATGTTGAAGGCTAGCTGTATTGGGTGCAGATGACTGAACTGCTCACTTTTGTGTCTGTGTCTGCAGGTTTACAGACGAGGAGGCATACATAGGTATGTCAATTGCTATTGGTATGTTATGCAGATCACATGTACAATCCTCCTCACTTACCTCTTCAAGGAAAATCCCATAGGCCTCTACATTATGGACAAGGTATGTGTATGAAAACCATTATCAAAATAGTTTTATTCATCCACATTTACCACAAAAGCCAAGGTTTGAATACTGCCGTGTGCATTTTTTGTTAATCATCTGTATAATTACAATTTTTTGGATTCACAGACTTCACCCTCCCTACACCTCTGATGAATATAACAGGAAACCTGTTTGATCACCATGCACTGCAAAATCATTCTGGCTATGGATACGGAGAACATCAACACATTAACATCAACATGCCAGAGGATATGCACTAAACAGATGTTTAGTGCATTTCATTCCGATCTCCTCTGCATTATTGTAGCCATTTGCTACAGCCTGTCAACTATGCCTCTGCCTATCCCTGTTCTCTCCTCTCTGCACAGGCTACACAAACGCCCCACACCGCGTGGCTGCTGCCTCTCTAACCTGGTGGTCCCTGCACGCACCCCACACCTGGAGTTCCAGGTCTCAGGCAGCCTCTGGAACTGCCGTTCTGCTGCCAACAAAGCTGACTTCATC